CATTATTACATGTATATAATATGGATTAAGGGATGAAAAACGTTGCGCCATTGCACATCACATAATAATAAAGGGATTTTTCTGAAATTTGCATTTGGGTTTAGTAACACTTTTTTGTTGTTGGGCCAAGCATTTGGGTTTAATTTAGGAACCCAAAATCCAGTTTGTTCATGTTCAAACTGCAGGAAAGGCCCAAAAGAAAACCATCGCAATCAATGATAGTACCTCAATCTAAAAAGTACAACCCTTGAGATGCACCAACCGAAAAACAGAACTTTATTATTTTTGAGCCACCGCGATGGCCAAAGCGCGGCTTCAATCTCCGAACTGAAGAACCCCGTCCACCTCCTCCCTCCTCTCGTTTCACACAAACCCTAAGAATCAAAACGATGGAGGAGCCTCAAAACGGCAACACGAATTCGGTGACAGTGGAAGAGGACGAAGGTCCAATTGTAGGACCCGGACCCGCCCCTCGCGCCCGACCCAAGCGCCCCCTCCAGTTCGAGCAGGCGTATCTCGATTCTCTTCCCTCAGCTAACATGTGGGTCTCTATTTTTTTTTTATTTTTTATTTTTTTGTTTTAAGCTTCATCTTTCTCTAAAGTTCTTTCTTTTCCAATTTGATTACTCTGTATGGTTCTTCTCTGTTGGATTAATTGCGTTAAGGGTTTAGGGTTTAGGGTTTTGGGGTTTTTCGTTTTCGAATTTCAGATTGGTTTCGCTTGGCTAAAAGTTCCTACTTTTGGTCTCTTTGTTTTGCAGGTATGAGAAAAGTTACATGCATCGTGATGTGGTTACACATGTTGCTGTATCAGCGGCAGATTTTTTCATAACTGGGAGTATTGATGGTGCATCTAAGAACTTTTTTTTTTTTTTTTTCCGTTCTGTATTCCAACTATTCTAATTTGCATTCTGTTAGTCTTGTTGTCGTTATTGTTGATGGACAAAAAAAATTTCATCTTTATGATTCTGCTATTTCAGTAGTACATATTCAGATGTTTATCTAACTTGGAATCAGTTTGGTTTGCAAAATTTTAATCTTTTTTTTTAATCATACAAGGGCATTTGAAATTTTGGAAGAAAAAAGCTATTGGGATTGAGTTTGCTAAGCATTTTAGATCCCACTTGGGTCCCATTGAAGGTCTAGCGGTGAGTTTTCTTTCCTTCTTGGATGACTATATTTGAGTTTGCTAAGCTATTGGGATTGAGTTTGCTATGGTCTTCTTGACTTGTTTTACGTAAACTTACAGTTAGTGCAGTCATCAACCATGACTTGGTTCAGCCTTGCAGGTTAGTGCTGATGGCTTGCTTTGCTGTACAATTTCAATTGACAATTCTGTGAAGATATATGATGTGGTCAATTATGATATGATGGTCATGATTCGTCTACCTTATATTCCTGGTGCTGTTGAATGGGTCTACAAGCAAGGAGATGTCAAAGCTAAGCTTGCCATTAGTGATAGAGATTCATCATTTGTGTATGTATATGATGCACGAGCAGGTTCAAACGAGCCTATTATCTCAAGAGAGGTATCTAAACAGCTACAGAAGTAGAAAAATATTAAGTAAAAGAAGAAGTATCTAAACAGTTACTTTCTTGTTTCCCTTGTCTTTGCCTCTTTTCTTTTTTTCCTCAGATACATTTGGGCCCAGTAAAAGTTATGAAGTATAATCCTGCCTTTGATACTGTAATATCTGCTGATGCAAAAGGAATTATAGAGTACTGGACTCCTGCTACACTTCAGTTTCCAGAGAGCGAGTATGTGCTTGTCTTCATTTTTATTTAACTGTTAGAGATGTTGGTACTTTATGTATAGCTTGCATTCTCTTGCTGTAAAAAGTAAAAATAAGAGTGTTTCTTTTTTGTGGTATTTGCAGGGTGAATTTTAAATTGAAAAGTGATACTAATCTCTTTGAAATTGTTAAATGTAAAACAACTGTTTCTGTCATTGAGGTACCAGTTTTTCTATTTATTTTTATATTCAATCTGTTGCTTTTCTCTTATCACAAGAGAAATTAAGTATTAATTGGCATGACCACTCTTTGCTGTTCAGGTCAGCCCGGATGGTAAACAATTTTCCATTACATCACCTGATCGCAGGATTCGCGTTTTTTGGTTCAGAACAGGAAAATTGCGGCGAGTTTATGATGAATCACTTGAGGTAAAATTTTTATATACTGGAGCATGATTTAAATATATGTATGCATCTGAGCACCTACATGATGTCTCTTTTTCTCAACTAGGTTGCCCAAGATCTTCAGAGAAGTGATGCCCCTATGTATAGGCTGGAAGCTATTGACTTTGGGAGAAGAATGGCAGTTGAAAAGGAAATTGAAAAAACAGAAACTGCACCACAACCCAATGCTGTTTTTGATGAAAGCTCTAATTTCCTTATATATGCAACTCTTCTTGGAATAAAAGTAAGATTTGAATACCTTACTAGTATATCCTGTGAGTGAATCTGTAGCTGAAATTTTTTTCTATTAGCAACAAATTTAAGTTTTATGCATCTGTTTTTGTCTATTCTCTGATTGTTCTTGTTTCTTCTCTTAATAACTTTTTGACAGATGGTAAATTTACACACAAATAAAGTTGCTCGAATTCTTGGCAAGGTGGAGATCAATGATAGATTCTTGAGAATTGCCTTATATCAAGATGACCGGAGCAGTAAGAAAGTTAGAAAAATTCCTTCAGCTGCTGCAAATGCTAATGAGAGCAAAGAGCCATTAACCGACCCCACACTCTTGTGTTGTGCTTTTAAAAAACATAGGATCTATTTATTCAGGTACTAAGTATGCTGCAAAACAATTATGGCTTTTACTGTTGTTGTGATGTTGAATAGCCACTGTTGTACTAGCAAAACCATCCTATTTGTTGTTTGTTGGTGTGCTTTGGCATTAGCTGTTTGTTTGAAGAACAACATTCTACCAGAATGTGCCAATTAATTATTATTATTATTATTTTTTAAGTTTGCCTATTTGTAGCAAAAGCTGCATTTGATTTAATTTTTGATGGCTTTTTATGGTTTTCACAGTCGGAGAGAACCAGAAGAACCAGAAGATGCAACAAAGGGAAGGGATGTCTTCAATGAAAAGCCTCCTGCAGATGAGCTTCTGGCTGTATCAGATATCGGGAAATCTGTTACAACATCTCTTCCTGACAATGTGGTGAGTTCTTATTCTGTACTTGAGACTTGAGAGTTCCAGATATGGAAAGGAAGCAGAAAGGAGAGCTTTTTGTACTTATTATTATTTTGGTATTATGCTTGCATTCTTCTCTGATTAATTTTCTGCGCTTATCAGATTTTACACACCACGATGGGTGATGTTCACATGAGACTGTACCCAGAAGAATGTCCAAAAACTGTGGAGAACTTTACAACACACTGCCGCAATGGGTATTATGATAATCTCATATTTCATCGTGTCATCAAAGGCTTCATGATACAGACTGGAGATCCTTTAGGAGATGGTACTGGTGGGCAGTCTATCTGGGGAAGGGAATTTGAGGATGAATTTCACAAAAGGTAACCATTTTCGTTCTGTGTGAAGTATTAGTGTTCTTCTCCAAACTCTAAAGTATTCCTTGTAATGTTGCCTGTTAATTCTTCTTTGGCGAATTTATTAACTGGGCTAAGTTTAACTCAATTGGATTCATTATGTCTTTATCTGCAGTTTACGACATGATAGGCCTTTCACAGTTTCAATGGCAAATGCTGGCCCAAATTCAAATGGGTCTCAGTTCTTTATTACCACTGTGGCTACACCATGGTTAGACAATAAGCATACTGTTTTTGGCCGAGTCATAAAGGGAATGGATGTTGTACAGGTATGTATTCTATGTTTGTGCTTCCATAGGTATACAGAGCTATTTTTGCCTTCGTAGTTTGTTGCTTCTACTGTCTATGCATGTTCATGCACACACAGTGACAGGATAAATGAACAAACATAGACAGTGACATAGAATATTCCTCATATATGGCTTATTATCTTCTTTGGACATGCATCTCTTCAGTCATACTTTCTTCATGGTTTTTTTTTTGGGTGCATAAAAAATGTTTTGACCAACATTTGAAATTCTTGTCTGTTGTTAGGCTATTGAGAAAGTGAAGACAGATAAGGCTGACAAGCCATACCAAGATGTGAAAATCCTAAATGTGACTGTCCCCAAGTCCTAAGAATTTCTCTCAGTGTTGAAACTCTCTGGATATGGGTGGTGCTCTCCTTTTGCAGTTAGAGTGTATCAGGCAAGTATTTTGTTAGTTTTTGTGAGGCATCATATGCAGCCTAGTGAGTACCAAATCCTTTTACCATAGAATTCAGATAAAGCCCCCAGCCGAGTAAACTATATTGTTTTCTCAAAGATATAAAATTCCTTTTTGTTCTTATAAACAAAATTCAAAGGTTGTTTGTTTGAGATTCTAAACAACTCAATAGTGCAGCAGAACAAATGACTCAAGTTCTTCTAATCTAACAAGCCTTACTTGGTCACCTGACTCCCAGGGATTTTGGCAATTTAGACTGACATCTCTACTTTCTTGGTGACTCAAGATTGCGTTATTTTTCCATGTACAGGGGTTGTGCTCATGAAATGGATCTCAGGAAGACTTTTTCAATTGAGTTATAATCTAATGTACACATTTGGAGAGGTCTTGTGATCTTCTACTCTGGAGTTTTATTCTAATATACACTATCCTCTCCTCTTAAAGACATTTGAATATGGTCTTTTAACATAGGTTGTTCCTGTGCGCTCTTATCGGATAAAAAGGGTCATTGGAGGGTGTGGTGTATCATTTCCATTTTATACTTCTTTCTGCCTATTTTGAAAC